TAAACGACATATTATATGTGAAGATGGGTTTTCCCTTCCCCCCCCTTTTTTCTTTTCTTTTTTTCCATCCTTTCCCTTTCCCATTGTTGTCTGTGTAATAAAAAATAAAAATAATTTAAAAAAAAAAGAAAGGTCTGCAAAATATTAAAATAAAAGCTGAATGCTGGAAGCATAATTAAAGCCATTAATACATGGGCAGTTCCAGTAATATGCTACTCAGCTGGAATCATCAACTGGACTTTGGCTGAACTGGAAAACTTGGATCAGAAAATGCGCAAACTTTTGAATATATACCATGTTTTACATCAACAAAGTGACATCAACAGGTTGTACCTGCCAAGAAAAATAGGGGGCAGGTGGCTATTGCAAATCCATCAAAGTATAGAAGAAGAAAAATGAAGTTTGAATGATTATGTGAACCAAGGTATAGAAAAATTGCTGCTGCAGACTGTGAAAACGGAGAATATTGTAAAAAAACAGAAACAAAGACAGAATATAAGGAAAAAATATCTGGATAACAGATTAAATAGATGGAAAACCAAAGCTTTCCACGGACAACACTTGAAAAACATTGAAGGAAAATGTGATGACAACCTTACATGGGCACAGCTTAAGATGGGAACCATGAAGAAAGAAACGGAAGGTTTAATGCTGCTCAAGGACAAGCACTACAAACTAATGACATGAAAGTAAACATACAAAAATCCACCAACAATCAAAACTGCCGACTTTGCAACGACAAAGTCGAAACTGTTTCACATTTAATATGTGAATGCAGCCAAATTGCAGAAACAGATTGCAAAGCTAGACATGATCGAATTGCTAAATTAATCCTCTGGTCATTATATAAAAAATATGATTTACCTTTATCCAGAAAGTCATGAGAACATAAAATGTAAAAAGTTATCTAAAATGAGAAGGTGAAGATCTTGGGGGACCTTCGAATACAGATGGATCATCATTTGGAACACAACCTGACAAATATCACAGTTGTTGAAAACCAAAATGTACAATTTGTTGACATTGCGGTACCAGGAGATGCCAGAGTCGAAGAAAAAGAACTGGAAAAAAAATCACAAAATACCGCAACCTGTCCATCAAAACTACACAATAATGGATGAAATATGTAACAGTGAGCCATTATCATCAGGGCACTTGGTACTATGTCCAAGAAATTTATAAGATACATAAACAAATTGCAGCTTCCTGCAATTGATACTATGGAGGGCCCACCCACCTGCCTGCTCTCCTTACCTCTATTCGAGCCGACCAGGGCATTTGCGCATACACATGGAGCGTACGGCACCTGCACAATGCTCTGCCAAGCAGCAGGAGCATCGCAGGTGGTAGGTATGCATGCGCGCACTGTGCGTGTACATATGTTGGACGCCTGGCCTCACTGCAGCGTACCGGTTGCAACGGGATTCAGAACCCACCACTGCCCCATAATCACATGATCAAAATTTAGATGCTTGGCAACTGAT